CAACCCCCACCCAACCCCCACCCCACATCCAGAGTATGTTTTTGAATCCCTTAAACATGTTTTGACTCTTTAGTTCGAAAGCACAGGTTTGATTTTAAAAAATTGACACCAAATTTCAGGGACAATTCTATTTGACTTCTGAAATTGGTAAATGCCAAGAAATAGCTAAATGCTATGAAAGCCTTTAGTAGTCTTAACGGAATGGTCTTAGGACTCCTAGTCAACTAGATAAAAAAGCATACCTAACAGGCATATTTGTCTAGGAACTCCTCTTATACTTGACAAAGGCTATTCAAGACTAAATATGGTAATAAAAACAGCAGAGAGCAAAGTAATTATTAAAAAATTGTCTTATTTATAAGTAATACAAAATTGTTATAGTCAAAATCATTACTGAACTGTGTTAGTGACAATTATTACAGAATTGTCTTAGTGATAATGATAACAGAATTGTCTTACTGATAATTATTACAAAATTGTCTTAGTATCATTATTACAGAATTGTCTTACTGATAATTATTACAGAATTGTCTTACTGATAATTATTACAGAATTGTCTTAGTGATAATCATTACAAAATTGTATTAGTGATAATCATTACAAAATTGTATTAGTGATAATCATTACAAACTTGTCATAGTGATAATTATTACAGAATTGTGTTAGTATCATTATTACAGAATTGTCTTAGTGATAATTGTTACAAAATTGTCTTAGTGATAATTATTACAGAATTGTCTTAGTGATAATTGCAGACTCTACTAGCTGCTTTCTGCGTCATTTTGCATTTGATGGGAAATGATACATCTGGGGAAAAAAAAACAATATTTTATATTTTGGGGAAGTAATTCTACCACCAAAGATAATATTAGAGATCATTAATTTAGATTCTGTGATTGACAAAGAAATATTATTCCAGCTCCACCAAAGGGTTTTCTGATTGGACGTTCAGCACAGTCCGATGTTGGGGAGAAAAACCTATAGGAACCTGGATACTGACCATCATAGACACAGGTAACTCTCCTCATCATGTTACAGTATTATACTGACCATCATAGACACAGGTAACTCTCCTCGTCATGTTACAGTAT